ATAATATATATTAATTACAAAGTTGCATGTAATTGCACATTGCACATTGATTTTAATAAACATATATTATTTACTTACGCAGTTTTATTTTTCACATCGAAAATTCTAAAGACTTCATCAGTATAACCAAAATATTTAATATATAAAGTGTAATTTCCTGGTAATAACTCATCCTTAAAAGAAAGGTCAATTATGTCTTCTTGAATATCATATGTCGGTTTATAGACTGTATATTTAATATTCTCATGATGTTTTTCTAAATTTTTAATTAAAATTATATTTTTTAAACATAATTTTTCTGAATATATGTTGTTGATTAATATATTTTGCGTTTTGTTAAGAATGCTTATGCTAATATTGTATTCTCCATAAAAAATATTTCCTTCAATGTATGATATATGCTTAATATGGTAATGGATTGGTTTTATATATTTTGATGGTTGATAGCATAAAGACGATTGATTAGGAGTAGAAGCCGTTCCAACGATATACATTATTCCGCTAATTAATAGTAGAAATATCATCGTGTCAAAAAATTTATTTTAGGTCTGCAAAACACACTGTAAGCAAAAGACAAATAGAGAACCTAAATATAGTAATGATGTCTTTTTTAAATCACTAGACAACACAAGAACGCGCTTAGCGCACGCTTTTGATATTATTTCTATTATTCACTTTACAATTGTCAAATTGTTAATTTTTGCGATGACAGTTGCTTGATGCTATAAAAATGATCATAATTTTAATTAGCCGAATTATTATTTTGACTTCTATTTTGTATATATATATTGATAGTAGAATACTAATACGTTTGAGAAAGACAACTTAATAATAAGTAAAAATTAAATTTTAATAAGTTTTAATTTTAATATATTTCACAGGATAATTAATTTTAACGACCATTACTGTCTAATAAATATTTAATAATCACCACCCAACGTTTCGACCATGGGTTTTGGTCCTTCTCAAGTGTACTTAAAATTAAAAACTGTGAACATATTATTCGAATGAAACTTCTTGTCGAATCGTGATAAAATAATAGCCAAGGACTATACAACCTTTAATATATTGACATCACAAATAAGTATTAAAATACACACAGATATTTTTTATAAATAAAAAGGGTACGAGAAATTTTGGAAACAGAATTTTAATAATCTAGTAATAAAAGGACAATTAAAAGTGTCTATTAAAATATTCATTATCTGTTAATTGCAGTATTTTTTAGTTTAAAAAATTATTTATTGGACATCAAACTTTTGTGGGTTTAAGATTATTTCAACTGTGGGGATAAAATTCATTATATATTTCAATTTTATTTTAAAATATTAAATTGAATTGAGAACGAGAGTCGGCGATCGAATATATGTATATATATGACAACGAGGGAAACAATTATAATGAACAGGTAAAGCAAAGTATCAAAACAAGCAAAATATAACAACGGACAGCTTAATCGATATAGGCATAGGTGACCGAAGAATCGATAATTTGTCACTCAGCGAACTCGCTGAAGAAAAAACAAATAGAATTATATCTCGCAAGCAAAAGTTATACCTCGCGGTTATTGCAAGTCATTTATATAATATATTAAATGCAGAATTAAAGCCAATAACAATAATATAACGTCTCTAAATTTATTACAACATTTCAGCTAATAAAACTAATAATTCGCCAAACAACATACAATTCGTAAAATATTATACGATCGATATTATTTGAAATTATCTCTGGATTAAAATTTACAAATAATTGTGAATAAAACTATTCTCTTTATTTCTATACATATGTTGGAAATTCTATAAAATTCCGTCCTACCGTATGATTAAATTTTTTGAATTTGTAGACACATATATGTTTTATATGTATGAAAATTGTAATGACTTACCGAATATTTCGAAGCAGAATGTTAATTAGAAAACTATATTGATTAAAACTATATATCGTTTTAAAAATGAACTGCAACAAATTAATGCTTTAGAAGTATGCAACGTTGGAAGAATATAATATATTCACACACTTTATTAAAAGTATTATATCTACCACCACGTGGTTCGAAAGACCACGAAAGACTGACTGATTCTCTGTACGTTTTATCATGATAAATATAATGTGTTAGGTCAATAAAATTTCTGAGGTCGTTATATGTAGGTATATATATACGTATTTGTGTGGCTGCATTTTTGTGTAACAGTTGACTTAATTAAGCCTAGCACATTCAAAAGATGCTAACCTAATCAAATAAATAGGCATTATTTATACACTTTTCTCAACACTGACTCCGCTATTATTAGTTTTCATACAATTTTTCATTTTACAAAACCTCTTTGTATACAACATTTGCCGTAAAAGATTTCGGATTTCCTTTAATGTTGCAAATTTTTCGGGGTGTGCGACGATGGGGTTTTTAAGTAAGTACTATTTAGACTATTTAAGTCTGTCTGTTTGTCTGTTTAATTACTATTTCGAACTACTTTAACATTCTCTGAAAAATTTGCAAAATTGTGGTACCAATTTCGAAAAAATCGGTCCATAAATATGCGATTGCGTGGGTGAGAGTGTAAAACTTAAAACAAACATCCATCCCGAAAAATTTGCAACATTTTGGTAGTTGTTTCACAAAAATCGGTCCATAAATATCGAAGTATTTCGCGATCAGACAGACAGACAGACGGTGCTTATATCTATAGATATATATATTTCTTATATAAAAAAATATAGTGTAATTTTTCTTTATATACATGCACTTTCGATAATTTTATCTTAATAATTTTATGCACAAAATATAGTAATATAATTCAATTAGTGTAAACATGTTTCATAATTTTAAAAAATGTATGTAGTTGCACATTGTTATAAATTGCAATTTTCTTTAAATCAACTGTAGTGTTTTTTTTTATACGAATCAATTTATCCACATTATTTTGTGCAGAAATTTATTCAGCTAAAATAATATCGAAAGATAAATATATTACAAGATGTTTTATATTTTTGTCAATATTAAACACATAAAACGTTTAACAATATAATAATAACTATCAAATCTCAAAAATGCCTCCACCTGAAATAAGACCATATATTTACGACGCGACGCTCCTTTCAAATTCTATAAATGTTGTATAAAGTATATTTTTCGGAAGAGAAATTTTGGTTCTGAAATAACAATACGTTATTTAAAATGGGTTACTTTATATTTTTTTGTTAGAAATATACATTTATTTATATACATGTTTATGCACAATATTGTGTCTACTTACGCCTGTATATGTTATAAAATCGTAAATATTATAATTGATTATTTATTAATCACGATTTGTACTATTTTTTCGTCTTTTTATATCAATTTTTCTCTAATTTTAAAGTTTTACTACTTTGATTATTTATTATATCGTACTCTGTGTGCAAAACTATAAAGATTTATAACTGATAAAATTAGTTTTTTCATATAACATTTCTTTAAAAAGTGAATACAAAATATTTTCGAAGATCTGTTTCCTTTTTTTTCTGCTCAAATTATATATATACTAGATAAACAAACTGTGAGAATAAAGCGAAAATGATATACAATTTTGAATATAAAACGTGACTTATCTTATCCGATGAACTATCGCGATACATCAAACCAGATGTGACGACAATTGTTGCGAATTTATATTACGAATTTCTTTGGAAATTAAAATATTCTGTAATTGATAATTATATAATAATTACTATATTTTTATCTTCCGAACATATATTATGTTATACATAGAAGGCCTCTAAAAATTTTTAACAAAGTTTATTTTATCAAATCTCTTTAATAGCGCAAAAAAAATTTTATTAAATTTAATTAAATATTTAACTCAATACTCTTTTATAATAAAAATCATTTATTTGAAACTAATGATATTGATTAAATGTGAAAAACATTTATTGTTTGATGTAAGAAAATTCTTTTCAAAACAGATAAATATATTTATTTGTATCAAATAAATGATTTATATAGCTGTATAGAAATAAAAATATTTTTTAATTTCATAATTTTTGCAATGCGCGGTGATACTCTTTTATATGTGTCAATTTAATTCTTGGCAATATGTGAAACATTAAATTTATTTTAATTGTGCAAATAAGAATTAAATTAAATTATCTTTAATTTTAATTTAAATGTTTGAGAAAATTAATAAACGATACTTCTTTCCTTTTTACAATATTTTATTTAGTGTCAGAATTACTGAAATATCAATTAAAGTATTAAATCAGCCAAAGATATCTGTTAAAAATTAGTACTATAAATTTACACACACAGCATGTGTTTAGTTTAATATTTATTTTCTTTTATGTAAATAATGTAAATTATAATATTTTTAAGTTTCAAAGGCATTTTATTCGATCAATTTTTATGGGTCGAAAATTATTTCAATATTACGGTTCCGGAATCAATTATACGTAAATATGTGCGTATATTACGTAGTAGCTTTCTTTACATATTCTAATCGATAAGCTATAAAAATATTTTAAAAGAGATTCGACATTTATTATTAAGAATAGCAAAAAACGGAATAATAAAAACTCAAATAAAGTAATAAGATAATTTTTTAATATTAAAATTCATCGTGTTGATTGATCAAAAGCACATGTTAGACGCGCACTTATTATAAACTTGTGACAAATGTTATTGCTGTGTTATTGCTATGTGACAAGTTATGCAATATTGTTTTGACCTTGCAGTTTTATATCGTTATTTTTAATATTTTTTTATTAATATATATATAATATATTAAGATTAATATTAATATTAATATTAAGCTAATCAATCACAAATTCTACATAATTAATAATATTGAATGTAAAAAATAATTAATTTCTGTAATAATATATAATTCTACTACTTCAAACAAGATCGCAAAAACATGAGAATCTTGATGCATGCAGTCATATAGTTTTATATAGGTAAATATAAAAGCATTGGATAGTAATACATCTAAATAAGCAATATTTAAAGCAGTAATAGGAATAGATGCAATATAAAACAATTATTCATATAAAGTACTTCCATGTAAGCAAAACTGCAAATTTTTTACATCCACCGATTAGAAGAAAAATCTTGCAAATTATTGTCTCTGCTTTTCGATTTGTTTTTTGCGAATAATTTCAATCTTGATTATAATATAAGAATATAAGTCATCTTTATCTATCACACGGTAACTCATCTAAAACAAATCGTTTCATTAACTATAATATAATTAGATAAATATAGTAATCTCATTCCGCATTATGCAAATCTTAATATATATAAACAAAGATTGTCATAATGAAATCAACATACTGATTATATAACAAATAATCAAATATAAAAATAATATTCAGAAATTAATCAGATAGAACAATTTTTCATTTTTTTTCGCTTTCCATAATAATATTTATTAAATATACCTCCTTTATTCGATGTCTTCTAAATTGATTTTCTGTATTCACTTCAATTATGTTAGCTTCTACAATACTTTCAGAGTGTCTTTCTATTGACTAAAATATATAATTTTAATACCATTATTAATGAACAACGTTATGATAACATTATCAAAATTATTTTAAACATTAAATAATAATTAGTAATATCGCATTATTATCATATTTTGTATACATATTTAAATATGTAACATTTTTACCTCAACTAGATTTTCGGAATATACATTATTAATCATAATAATTAATGCTGCAATTATATTAACATTTCTAAAAACAAAAAAAGAGGTATCTATAATACATATAATAAACTTTTGTACAAAATATTTATAAAAATATGTCACATTACTTTGGTTTTAATTCGTTAAAATTATCTAATAAATACGTCAGTATAATTGGATTCTTTGCATGCTTCGTAATAATATGTAAGAAAATGTAAGCGAGAAATTGATCGTCCTGTTTTGTATAAGTGTACTGTTTATAATTTAAATAGTCCTTGATGAAATCTATATCTTCAATGCAAGCCAAGTATTCTAAAAATTTACTGTCATTTGTTTCGAATCCTATGGTATACACTGATGTCCTAGTAGTAACGTCATTTATCATAGTTTTCATTAAACCTCTACAATATGTCCATTCCCTCCACCATGGCAAAAGTCTACAATATAAAAAGAATTTAATTTTCTTATTAAAGATAAGCGTATCAACTCATTTGAACATTATAGGAGATACCTACAAGAAAATTTGATTAAGAAAGGCTAAAAATATAAAACAATATTTACCCGTGTTTTATAGGATCTTCGAGATATTGTTCTAATTTATTTTTCGCTTTTTCCGTACAATTAATGTCACCGAAAAAACATGCCCATCTTGCAGCTTCTTGTCGTAAACATGTTATAAGTTCGTCTGAATCATCAATTTCTTCATATTTGATTTTTATAAGTATCTTATTTAACATGACTCCTATTCTTTTCTAAAAATAGTTACATATACAGTTCTTTGTTAATAAGTTTATAATTATATAGTTCATTGACAAAGATTTTAAGCACCCAGCTATATAATAATGTTATATATCAATATTATTGACAGTAGTGAAAATCATACACTTTGGGGACTGTTCTCCGCGTGAGTGATTATTCAAACTGAAATGTTTGCACATTTATCTGTGACGCAATAATATGTAAAATTTTATCGTTGCTGGATATATTTTTTTGATTGTAAGTATTTAAATTATTGGTGATGAATGAGAGTATATGCAAATATCCGAAATGTAACACTTTCATTGAACTCTATTAATATTTACCATATAAGTCCAATTGCTTTCTTCCAGCATAGCAGCAGGAAAAGTATTAAACATGTATTCCAGAGCTTTAAACATAGGATACCATGCTATATAATCTTCTTCTTTATCCAAATACGATGTGATATTCCAGAATATATTGGCGTTGAGTTGGCCTGCTATCACTAAATGAAATGCATCATCGATAATTTGGGCACGATTAAGAACATGAATTTTCGTAAAATTATCAGAGTTTAGATAATTTGAAATTCTTTGCCAATTCTCATCATCATAGTTAACGCGATAATATCCTGTCGAATAGTAAATAAATTTTAACAATTTTTATTATTCTGAATAATTTTATAATTAATATATACTTAATTTTTTAAACATTTGCGTTTAATATTCTACTTTTAATATTGTTTAATATTTTACCAATTTGTTGTAAATTGAATATTATCCAACCTTCTTCTTTATGTGAGTATGTATAATTTAAATCTATTGCTTTGCATAACGGATAGTGAGTAAAACTTGTAAAATTGGGATACGTCTGAGTAGTAAAAGTTACAGGCATGCAATAAATTCTTAATATGTCGGAATTTTGTATCGATATATGCATTTTGCTCCAAGACTCATTATAACTTCGTATTACTTTGATGAGAGGACAATGCTCTTCCAAAGTCCAATATTTCATTGTTTCTAATGTTATATTACTAATATATGATATATTTTGCTTTTTTGCATCAGCAACAACTTCTTTGAAGAAAGTCATAAAATTTTGACGATCAAACTGGCTAAATTCACAAAGTATGTAAATTATGTAAAAAAACATTATAAATATGTTAAAATTATATGTATAATGAAATGTATAAAGACAAAACAAAAAATAAAAAAATATAATAAAGAAGAAAGTTCTACGAAAGAAATAAAATGAAAAAAAGCAATAAAGATATATACGTGTTAGATTTTTAAAAACTTATTTAATGAGATTAAAAAACAAATGTAGCACAAAATACAATTTAAGAAAACGGATATTATGAGAATTATAAACGATATGATAAAATAAAAAAAATATTAAAAAGAATAAAAATTAATTTATAAATTATTTTGAAAAATAGTAAATTATGAAACAAAAATATAAAACAACAATGAATATGTATATATATATATATATATATATATATAAAAGTGACAAGACAATTTATTCAACAAAAGCGGTTTAGTAAAAGTAATGAAAATAAAAGTAAATTTATAGTAGCAGATTTAGGAAAATAGCGAAATTGTAAAACTAAAAAAAATAATATGAAATATCAGGAGAAGCGAAATAATAAAGAACATTATATAAAGTTTGTATTATTAAAAATTATTTACATATAATAATATATTTATATTACATTATTTTTTTATATTATATTCTGTATTGTCTTACTTACGTCCTGTTTACATATGATCGAATGCTATTCCAAAATATTACTTCGGTGACGGCGTATTGCATCATGCGCAGTATAAAGGGTGCTACAATTTACATCAAAATTATAAATAAGATATATTATAAATATATATTTATTAGAATGATTACATGTAAACATAGTGATATTACAAAGCAAAATTATATATGTGTATATATATATATATATAGGTCATTCCACATCAAATCGGTCACCCCCCCTCCCCAAAATTGTATTAAAGTAAATGTAACTTCCAAGGTACCAAAATTTAGCTTAAAACATCTAATTTTTTATGCCGTGTGGCAATTTTAAAAAATGTTAAATAATGACTTTTTGGTTTTGTCAGTTATATAAAAAATGATATGTATTTTTTTATTCAAATTTTTATTATTTCCTTACAAATGAAGTACAATAGTATATTGTGTATCAAGTGCAGAAAGTTGACAATTGGTCACGAGTGCGGAGGATGAACGCACGAGCCGAAGGCGCGTGCGACCACCCCAAACGAATGAACAATTGTCAATCCGCACGTGATACACATACTATTTTGTATTACAAGTGCAGGCAAAGTGGCTTGGTGGCCGATCGCACGCCGCCATTTTGCGACGGCACGGTGCGGGAATAGCCGCGTTCAAAGTCATTGTCCACGGCTGAAGCCACAGCAAAACATTAAAAAAAGGACCATTCAATTAATATCCTCTACACACATATGTGCGATTATTATCGGACACTTTGTGTACATATAAATATATATATATATATATATATATATATATATATATACACACATATATGTATATACCTGTATGTATAAACTTTAAATATTAATTAAAGAATACACATATATGCTTGTGTGTGTACTTTAATAACCTTATTTTTTAATAAAATCCATATAAACAATTAATTATCTTATAACTTTACACATATTTTTATAATATTAATAGTTCAAAATTTACGCAGATTATTTTATTATATTACGTTATACCTCTGATGGATTCGCGAATTTTCAATAAACTGTCATCTTGTGAAGTAGAATTCCACATATCATAATCATCCAAATAAAAAGAAGTATGTTGATTTTGAACAACAAATAAATTTATTATTTGATTATCAGGATAAATCTGTAAAAAAATTAATTAATATATCAATATAACCGCTCTAAAAATGTAAGCATTAGAAGGAAATACTAATATCATTAGCGGTTCTTCTATTAAAAAGAATCACTTTCTCATTTTGAAAAACACATACAAATAAATATAATAATAAAATCTCAAATTTTGTATTAATATAATTAATAAATATTACATATTTTTAAAATTATTATCTCATGATATTATATCGCAGAATTCTCTTTATCAAAATATTCAAAATAAATATCGGGTGTACCAGTTTCTGATTAATTTATAATATTTTAGATTTCATAAAAATTTATAAATATCATATAAAATAGTGTTAAAATATAAAAAAATTTTTCATACTTTACATTATATTTATATGAATGTAAATAATTGAAAAAGTATTTTTATAAAACAGTTTAATATCGTATACATATGTATATATTGTTAAATGTTTTTAAAACAATTTAGCAAAAATTTAAGCATTTTGTAAAAATAATTTGATATACGAAAATCTTGTTATATAAATGCTTCAGTATGTTATCGTTTTCGAGAAAGTGGGAGCGTGATAGCGTTGAAAATATTTAGAATAACCTCATTGACAGCATACGTTGCAAGCAATGTAGTAAGAGCTTTATTAAACCAAGCCAATTTAAATGGATTGTTCAGATTATAAAACCATTGCTGCGTCACTTTATGTCCTACTAATTGAGCTACTTCGATTTTGTGAGCAACAGGATATAAATTTTTATCGTAAACGATATCCATTTCGCTGAAAGTTATATTTAAATGTAAAACTGAGAACTTTTATAGAAAATAAAATTCTATTTTTGTTGTAATTTTCTAATTTTATTGTTAGATGTACAATTTACAAACTCATGAGTACAATGTAGCAAATCAGTATTTTTAATCATACCAAATATTAACTCTTTAAATTTTTAATTATTAACAGTGAATTAACGCGTATCATTGATAAATAACTATATTTTTAAATGAATAAAAAAATGTCATTTCTTCTACAGGTTTATTACAATTTTATCATTTACTTTTAGGAAATACGATATAGCATAAAAACTTTTCCCTTTATGTATGTATTTTAAAACAATAAACTCAAACTTTGTTAATTATAGGAATAAACTCAATTTTTACTACTTAAAATTGTTGTTTTCACAATATCTTATACTTCTGAACGTTTACAGACACAAAAAATATACTTGTTTTTAAATTTTATCATTTTGCATACTTATATAATTTTATTTTTAATGTAATTTTAAGCACTTGTACTCACTTATAAAAAACAAGTCCCAAAACTGTTATGTCATTATCAGGGAAATTTGGTATTGCAACATGAGTCACATTCGAAATATTGTTCGAATGTTGTTTCCATTTATTTTTATAGAACAACGTGATATTTTCAGCTACATTTTTTGCAAATTCCATGTGAAATACAGTTTCGTTTCTGCACCACATTTGAATATGTTTAGTATTATTATCAACACGTGATAAGTAATTGGACACAATTATTGTTGCAAGATACGGCGACATTGCAGGTGTGGTATCAAAGTGTGTCCATAACATATTGTACTTATTTTCTTCCGTATTTCGCAATGGCATATTTGACAAAGCCGTGCATTGATTACATCCTATAGATATGTTAAAAGTTGCTTCTAACAATAAATTTTGTTGACTCCAACATGAAGACAATTGTCGATCGCCTATTATATGGAAATGAGTAGCAGCTACCAAACTATACATTTTAAAAAACATATATGAATGAAACATTTTTACCAAGCTTCAAAATGTTGGGATTTATAAATGTATAAATTTAATATGTAATAATATGTACTAAAGGTATAGAAAAATCGTCTTTATATTTAAATTTCATGAAATATAATTTTCGAAACGTTTAATGCATAAATAATATGTAATAATAACAAAGTTTCATGTAAATGCACATTGTACATTGTTTTCATAAACACATATTATTTACTTACGCCATTTTTTCTTTCATGTCGAAAATTCTAAAGACTTTATCAGTATAACCATTATATTCAATATTTAAAATGTAATTTCCTGGTAATAATTCATCTTTAAAAGAAACATCAATTATGTCTTCTTCAATATCATATGTCGGTTTATAAACTGTATATTTAGCATTCTCATGATATTTTTCTAAATTTTCAATTAAAACTATATTGTTAAAATATATATTTTTTAAATATACGTTGTTGAACAATATATTTTGTGTTTTGTTAAGAATGCTTATGCTGATATTGTATTCTCCATAGAAAATGTTTTCTTCAATACATGATATAAACTTGATATCGTAATGGTTTGGTTTTATATATTTTGATGGATCATAGCATAAGGATGATTCATTATGAATAAAAGCTGTTTCAGCGATGAACATTAACCCGCTACTTAATAATAGCTTTAGAAATATCATCATGTCAGAAAAGAAATATTAATTTTGAATCTGTAAAGCACACTGTAAGCAAAACACAAATAGAGAACTTAAATATAGTATTGATGTCTTTTTTAAATCACTAGACGACACAAGAGCGCGCTTGGCGCACGCTTTTGATATTATTTCTATTATTCATTTTAAAATTGTCAAATTGTTAATTTTGGCGATGACAGTTGCTTGATGCTATGAATATGATCATAATTTTAATTCGCCGAATTTTAATTATGTATATAACTTTAATTAACCGAATTTCTATTTTAACGACTATTTTGTACATATACTGATAATAGAATACATTTGAGAAACACAATTTAATAATAAGTAAAAATTAAATTTTAATAATTGTTAATTTAAATATATTTGAAACGTCTCAACTTTAATGAAATACTATATTAAATCGATATAAACTAGTGTTGTTGCGTTTTTTAATATTAACATGCGTTTTGAACGTTTTATATAAAATATTTATGTAAAAAATTTTACGTAAAATATTTAGTATTATGTCTACTTCTAACTTGTGTTGCATTTATATTCCCAGTGAAAAATAATGGTCGAATTGACGTCGATTCGTTGTCGAATCGATGTCGAATCGATGACAATTCGACTAATTATTTGTCACTAACATTTATTTTACACTTAACAAAATTAATTTTTTCAAACTTTTATTATACTTCTTTTAGGGGATATATCGAATACAGATTAAAAACAATTATTCTATTCTTTATTCTTCTTAATTATATATATAATTTTCAACAACAAAAATTAATATTTAATTTTTCATTCTTCATAAAATTATTTTACTCAATGTCGCAGCACAACTTCAAAATCAATTTAAGTATTAAAATATATACAGATATTTTTTTATAAATAATAAAAAGTACGAGAAATTTTGAAAAACAGAATTTTATAAATCTAGTAATGAAAAGACAATTAAAAGTGTCTATTATAATATACATTATCTGTTAACTGTAGTATTTGCAACTTTCAAAAATAAAATATTTGATATCAAACTTTTGTGGGTTCAAGATTATTTTAACTGTGGCGATAAAATTCATTTTATATTTCAATTTTATTTGATATATTAAATCGAATTGAGAACGAAAGTCAGCGATCGAATATATGTACATATATGACAACGAGCGAAAGAATCATAATAAACAAGTAAAGACAAAGTATCAAAACAAGCAAAATATAACAACGGACAGCCTAACCGATATAGGCAAAAGAATTGATAACATGTCACTCAGCGAACTCGCTGAAGAAAGGACAAATAGAATTATTTTAAATTATATATATCTCTGGATTGAAATTTACAAATAATTTTGAATAAAACTATTCTCTTTATTCCTATACATATGTTGGAAATTCTATAAAATTCCGTCCTACCAAATGATTAAATTTTCTTGCATTTATAGACACATGTTTTATATGTATAAAAGTTCTTCTGACTTACCGAATATTTCGAAACAGAATGTTAATTGGAAAACTATATTGATTATAACTATATATTGTTTTAAAAATAAACTGCAGCAAATTAATGCTTTAGAAGTATGCAATGTTGGAAGAATATAATATATTCACACACTTTATTAAAAGTATATTATATCTACGGCGACGTGGTTCGAAAGACCACGAAAGACTGACTGATTCTCTGGACGTGTCTTCATGCTAAATATGATGTGTTAAATCAACAAAACTTCTGAGGTCGTTATATATATATATATATATATATATATATATTTGGGTGTATGGCGGCATTTGTGTGTAACGGTTGATTTAATTTAGCACATTTAACTTTTGCCTAATTAATCAAATTATTAAGCATTGTTTATACACATTTATATGACTTATTTCAACAAACATTGTTGCTAAAAATATTGTGTAATTTCTCGTCATATACTCATTCTTCGATAATTTTATCTTAATAATTCAATTAGTATAAATATGTCATTATTTAATATAAATGTATGCAATTGCACATTGCCATAAATTGCAATTTTTTCGGTCGTTATATGTATATATATTTACATATATATATTTGTGTGTGTGGCGGCAGTTTTGTGTAACTGTTGTCTTAATTGAGCACATTTAAATTTTGCCCAATTAATCCAATAAATAGGCATTATTTATACATATTTATATGACTTATTTCGAAAAACATTTTTACTAAAAATATGGTGTAATTTCTCGTCATATACTCAACCTTCAATAATTTTATCTCAATAATTTTTTGCACAAAATAGTAATAGAATTAAATTATTATAAATATATCATTATTTAAAAAATGTATGTAGTTGCACATTGCTACGAATTGCAATTTTTTAAAATCACTGGAATGTTTTTCTTATACCAATCAATTTATCCACATTATTTTGTGCAAAAGTTTATTTAGATAAAACAATATTGGAAGATAAATACATTACAAGATGTTTCATATTTGTTTCAGAAAAGAACATAAAACGTTTAAAAAATAATGATATCTATCAAATCTCGAAAATGCTTCAATTGAAATAAGACCGTATACTTACGACGCGACGCTCTTTTTCCGAGTTCTATAAATATTGTATAAAGTATATTTTTCGAAAGAAAAACCTTGGTTCTAAAATTACAACAATATTTAATTTAAAACGGGACATTTTATATTTTTTTGTTAGAAATATACATTTAATTATACATGTCTTTATGCATAATACTGTGTCTTTATACTGTACGTACTCCTGTTTGTATAAGTATATAATATAAAATTGTAAATATTATAATTGATTTCTTATTAATCGCGATATGTACTATTTTTTTGTTTTTTTATATCACATTTATCTAATTTTAAAATTTTAATACTTTGTTTATGACATCGTACTCTATGCGCGAAACCATGAAGATTTATAACTGATAAAAGTATTATCTTTATATAACATTTTTGTAATAAGTTAATACAAAATAAATTTCCAATTATTAATGACAGTCACTAGTATTTAAATAGGTGTTTTTAAAAATATTTTTCAAAATTTATTTTACTTTTTTTTCAAATTATATATATACTAAATAAACAAACTGTGAGTATAAAGCCAAAATAAAATACAATTTTAAATATAAATCGTGATTTTCCGACCTCAATACTCTTTTATAATAAAAATTATTTATTTGAAATTAATAGTATCGATTGGATGTGAAAAACATTTATTGTTTGATGTAAAAAAATTCTTTTCTAAACAGATAAATATTTATTTATATAGCAGTATAGAAATAAAAATATTTTTTAATTTAATAATTTTTTTAATGCGGTAATGCTCTTTTATACTTGTCAATTTTATTTTTGGCAATATATGAAACATTAAATTGATTTTAATTATGTAAGTAAGAAATAAATTAAATTATCATTAATTTTGATTTAAGTGTCTGAGGAAATTAATAATCGATTCTTCCTTCCTCTTTACAGTAGTTTATTTGGTGTCTGAATTACTTAAATATCAATATTAAAGTATTAAATCAACCAGACATATTTATTAAAAATACGTACTATAAATTTACACACACAGACGTGTATAGTCTGATATTTATTTTTTTTTATGTGAAAATTATAAAATTTTTAGTTTTAAAGCATTTTATTCGATAAATCTTTATAAGTCGAAAATTATTTCAATATTACGAATTTTGAATTAATTATACGTAAATATAAGCGTATATTACATAGTAGCTCCTTTTTCATATTCTAATCGATTAGCTATTGAAAGATTTTAAGAAATTTTAAATTTTCCGATTTCAGTGTAACGGATTTCTATTTTTTTCGAATTTGTTGTTCGTGTTGCAACACCGTTGTGTACAAATTTTATTTTGCTAAATGAGATTCCACATTTATCATTGCGAACAGTAAGGAACGATAAATAATGCAGAAGCAAATGAAATAATAAGATAATTTTTTAATATTAAAATTCATCGACACACACATATATATATAACTAATAATAAATTTTTATAATGTTTAAATAATAAATTGTTATATGTGTGTGTGTGTGTGTGTGTGTGTGTGTGTGTGTGTGTGTGTGTGTGTGTGTGTGTGTGTGTGTGTGTGTGTGTGTGTGTGTGTGTGTGCGTGCGTGCGTGCGTGCGTGCGTGCGTGCGTGCGTGCGTGCGTGCGTGCGTGTGTGTGTGTGTGTGTGCGTGTGTGCGCGCGCGCGCGCGCGTGTGTGTGTGTGTGTGTGTAAATATATATTTTTGTTAATTCACATAACAAAAATTGAAAACAAATCAATATATAATTTAAAATGAATAGATAAAGCACACACTCAATTTAGGTGCACTTATAATTTAGCAAGTTTTATTTATATATTTATACTATATATGTTTATACATTTATATTATATTATTATATCTAACAGTAAGTTTATTCTAATATAATATGGCTACAATTCTGTTACTAAGCAGGTAATAATATATAGTTTAACTACTTCAAACAAGATCGCAAAAAAATGAAAATCTTGATGAATGCAGTCTTACAGTTTTGTAAATATAAAGGCATCTGATAGTAATACATCTAAATAAACAATATTTAAAGCAGCATAAAAATAGTACATGCAATATAAAAAAATTATTCATATAAAGTACGTTTACGTATAAAAAGCTGCAATTTTGTTTCATCCACCGATTAGAAGAAAATACTTGCAGAATACTGTCTCTGCTTTTTGATTTGTCCATTGCGAATATCAACCTGGTTTGTTATTTGATTAATTAACTCCTTCTGATTTATCACACGGTCACTCATCTAAAACACATCATTTTATTAATTATAATATAATTAAATAAATATAGTAATCTCATTCCGCATTATACAAATCCTAATGTATATTAACAAAGATTGTCATAATGAAATCAACATACTGGTTATATAACAAATAAGCAAATATAAAAATAATATTCAAAAATTAATAAGGTATAACAATATTTTATTTTCTTTCGCTTTCCATAATAATATACATATATTAAACTTACTTCCTTTATTCGATATTTTCTAAATTGATCTGTGTTCACTTCAATTACGTTAGTTTCTACAATATTTTTAGTTCGTATTAAAAACTCTATTGTCTAAAATGTATAATTTTAATACCATTAAACATAAACAACGTTATGGTAACATTATGAAAATTATTTTAAACATTAAATAATAATTATTAATATCGCATTATTATCATATTTTGTATACATATATTTAAACATGTAAAATTTTTACCTCAGCTATATTTTCAGAATATACGTTATTAATCATAATAATTAATGCTGCAATTATATTAACATTTCTAAAAACAAAAAAATTCGATGTATATACATAATAAATATAATAAACTTTTGTACAAAATATTTATAAAAATATGTCACTTTACTTTGGTTTTATTTCGTTAAACTTATTGAATATATACTCCAGTATACTTAAATTCTTCGCATGCTTCGTAATAAAATGTAAGAAACTGTTAACGAGAAATTGATTTCCCTGTTTTGTATAAGTGTGCTGTTTATGACTCTCTCTAAAATAGTTTTTGATGAAATCAGTATCTTCAATGCAAGCGAAATATTCTGAAAATTTAATGTCAGTTTTTTCCAATCCTCTCGTATACATTGTTCCAAAAATGGTCTCATTTCTCGTAGTTATCATCAAACCTCTACAATATGTCCATGTCTTCCACCATGGCAAAAGTCTAAAATATAAATAAAATTTAATTTTATTATTAAAGATTGGCGTATCAACTCATTTAAACATTATAGAAGATATTTACAGGGAAATTTGATTAAAAAAAGCTAAATATATATAATAATATTTACCTGTGTTTTATAGGATCTTTGATATGTTGTTTTAATTTATTTTTTGCTTCTTTTATACAAGTGATGTCACCGAGAAAACATGCCCATCTTGCAGCTTCTTGTCGTAAACATATTCTAAGTTCATCTGCATCATCAATTTCTTCATATTGAATTTTTGCAAGTAACTCGTGTAATGGTTTTTATCCCATTTATTCTATTCTAAAAATCATTAAATAAATATTTCTTTATTAATAGTTTATAATTATAATTCATCGACAAATATTTTAAGCATCCAGCTATTTATCCAATAACAATGTTATATATTAATATTATTTACAGTAGTGAAAATCATACACTTTGAAGACTGTTTATCGCGTGAGTGATTATTCAAACTGAATTTGTTTGCACATTTATGTGAGACGTAATAATATGTAAAACTTTATCGCTAGATATATTTCTCTATAAATATTTAAATTATTTGTAATCAATTAGTGTATATATAAATATTTAAATGTAATACTTTCATTGAAGTTGATTAATATTTACCCCAAATTTTGCAGTTTTTACTTTCACTGGAAAAATACTAAACATGTATTCCAGAGCTTTAAACATAGGATACCATGCTATATAATCTTCTTCTTTATCCAAATACGATGTGATATTCCAGAATATAGAGGCGTTGAGTTGGCCTGCTATCACTAAATGAAATGCATCATCGATAATTTGAGCACGATTAAGAACATGAATTGTCGTAAAATCATTATATGATAGATAATTTGAAATTCTTCGCCAATTCTCATCATCATAGTTAACGCGGTAATATCCTGTCGAATAATAAATAAATTTTAACAATTTTTATTATTTTGAATAATTTTTATTCTTAATATACATTTAACTTCAAACATTTTTGTTTAATAGTTTCGTTTATATAAATTATAAATTAAAAACGTATCAAAAATTCAATAAGATGCAAATACATATTGAAAATTAATTATAAATTAAAAATGAAATTGTGCGAGATAATGTTGTATAGCATAAAATAAAATTGATTCTAGTTGTGCATATGTATAATAATTATTTTTTACTAATCAGCAAAAGTTCTGTAACATGAAACTGTACAAGAATTTTATTTCATTTGTATATTTATATAAGTATACTAATTTTTCAAATATAATTAACGTTTTAATCATTTTTATTATTATTAGAATAAAATATTTGTAAAAATATAACTTTAATATTGATTAATATTATGTAGAAAACGCCGATATCTTATTAATTATATATAATAATACAGAACATTATACAAAACATTTTAAAATTATGGTAGTTATATATAAGAATATCTCAGATTTATAATAATGTATAAAGCAAAAAAAAATATAAAATAATGTCAATTGTGTATGTGTGTAAAATAAAGACAAGTAATAAGTCATGATAAGTCCATTGATCGATATTTACCAATTTGTTGTAAATTGATTATAACCCAACCTTTCTCTTCTATTGAGAATGAAATAACATCATCTTGTGATTTGCATAGCGCGCGGTGATCAAGACTGTCAAAATCGGGAACCGACTGGATAGTATAAGTTACAGGTAAGCAATCAATTTTTAATGTGTCGGGATTTTGTATCGATAAATATATTTTCGTCTTTCCCAAAAGACCATAATTTCGTTCTACTTTGATGAGAGGACAATGCTCTTCTAAAATCCAATTTGCCATTGTTTGTAATGATAATTGAAGTTTATCTAGCTTATTTGCATCAGCAACAACTTCTTCCAAAAAAGTCATAAAACTTTGACGATGAAATTGGCTAAAATCACAAAGTACGTAAATTATGTAAAAATAACATTATAAATAAAATTAAAATTGTATTTATAATTTTAATATTTTAATATTATAAAAAATTTTAATAAATACTAAGAAGCAAAATATAATTGTACTTATTTGTATTTGTGTATTTATATATCTTATATTTATATTATGATAATAACATAATATTAAATATAATTTTATAATTTTATTTAATTTATAATATAAACTATGAAGTCACCAGATGATAATTAAAAATGGTAGTAATTCAATCGACCAATTCTGGCAAATAATTAAATTTATTGTATTTTTACAACGTTTCGGCCGTGGGATTCGGCCCTTATCAAGTGCTATGTTCTTAAATCAGAGTAAATCACAATCTTTTAAAAAACAAAAATTCGATCTTAAAATATGACATTATATAATAACCTGATAGTATAAAACGAAATAACTATTGTTATTATATATGTGATATAGTTATTTCGTTTTATACTATCAGGTTATTATATAATGTCATATTTTAAGATCGAATTTCTGTTTTTTAAAAAAGTTGTGATTTACTCTGATTTAAGAACATAGCACTTGATAAGGGCCGAACCCTACGGCCGAAACGTTGTAAAAATACAATAAATTTAATTATTTGCCAGAATTGGTCGATTGAATTACTACCATTTTTTATTTAATTTGTTAGGCATTTCTTTATACTATTACTAGTAATGCCAATTTATCACTTATTTCGATACTTAATCACTTATTTCGAGTACTTAATTACTTATTTCGAGTATTTAAATTACTGTATATCATATTTTAAATATTCGAAGTAAGTGATTAATTGGCGTTATTAGTGATAAATTTCTACAAGAGTTAATAATACAGATTATATTTGGAAAAAGTATTGACAGATGAGTTATAAAATGATTAATAAAAGAAATAACAAAACAAGAAATGATATACAAATATAATAAAAGAGATTGTTCTACGAAAGAAATAAAATAAAAATAAAGAAAGTAACAAAAAAAGATATACGTGTCAGATATATTTAAAATAACATTAAAAAACAAATGTAGCACAAAATTCAATTAAAAAAAAACAGATATTATAAGACTTATAGACGATATGAAGAAAAGGAATTAATAAAAAAATAAAAATTAATTTAAAAATGATTTTGGAAAATAATAAATTATGAAACAAAAATAAAACAACGTTGAATATATGTATTATATGAAAAAGTAAAAAAACAACATATTGTTTCAACAAAAGCGGTTTTCATAGTAAAAGTAACGAAAGTGAAGGTAAATCTAGTAGCAGATGTAGGAAAAAAGCGGAATTGTAAAACTAAAAAAAAGCAATATGAAATAATGTCAGCAAAAGCGAAATAATAAGGGACAATATATAAAATTTGTATTATAATAAATTATTTAAGATTTAAATGATTTTATTTTCTTATATTATATACTCACGTGCTATTTGTATATGAGCGAACGCCTTTTTGAAATATTTCTTTGGTTACGGCGTGTTGCATCATGCGCAGTATACAGGGTGCTACAATTTACATCAAAATTATAAATTAGATATATTATAAATATATGTTTATTATAATGGTTACATGTAAAGTGGTTTTATATATTATAAGGCAAAATTATTTGTATATATATATACAAGGTACAGTAATCGCATAACAGTGAAATGTCTTCTATTGCCGCACGGTTTATCATTTTGATTTTAAAGTAAATTTTTCGTTATAAAGATATAGCAAAACATTAAAAGACCATTTGATTAATATCTTCTACACACATATGTGTAATTATACCGAACACTTCGTGTGTGTATATATATTTATATATATTATTTGGTATAATATATATATATATATATATATATATATATATATATACCAAATAATATATATATATATATATATGTATATATGTATATACCTTAAATATTAATTAAAAAATATACATAAATATGCACGTGTGTGTGTGCTTTTATAATTTTATTTTTTTAATAGAATTCAGATAAAGAATTAATTATTTTATAATTTCACAAATATTTTTATAATATTAATAATTCAAAATTTACGCGAATTATTTTATTACATTACGTTATATACCTCTGATGGATTCGCGAATTTTCAATAAACTGTCATCTTCTGAAGTAGAATTCCACATACGATAATCACCATCCAAATAAAAAGAAGTATGTTGATTTTGAACAACAAATAAATTTATTATTCGATTATCTGGATAAATCTGTAAAACAAAAATTATTAATATATCGATATAACCACTCTGAAAATACTTGCATTAGAAATAAATACTAATATCATTAGCGGTTCTTCTATGTTAAAAGAGAACACTTTCTTATTTTGAAATACACATACGAATAAATATAATAATAAAATCTAAAATATTTAAAAATATCAGATAAAGTGAGGGGGGGGGGAGGACGTGTTCAAAAAAACTTTTTTTATACTTAACATTGTTTACATTATATTTATATGAATGTAAACATTTAAGAAATTAGTTTTAAAAAACGATTTAATATTGTATACATATGTATTATTGCTAAATGTTTTTAAAATCATTTTGCAAAAATTTATGCATTTTATAAAAAGAATTTGATATACGACAATCTTGCTATATAAATGCTTAAGTATGTTATCGTTTCCGAAAAAGTGGGAGCGTGATAGCGTTCAAAATAAAAAAAAGTATGTTGATTTTGAACAACAAATAAATGTGTATTATTCGATTATCTCGATACATCTAAAGAAAAAATTTAATTTAATATATCAATATAACCGCTCTGAAAATACATGCATTAGAAGGAAATACTAATATCATTAGCGGTTCTTTTATGTTAAAAAGGGACACCTTTTTACTTTAAAAACACATATGAGTAAATATAAAAATAAAATTATAAATTTTGTATTATTATAATTAACAAATATTACATACTTTTAAAATTATTATCTCATGATATATTATATCGCAGAGTTCTCTTTATCAAAATAAGTCAAATAAATATCGGATATAATAGTTTCTGATTAATTTAAGTTATTTTAGATTTTATAAAAATCTGTATGTATAATTACCGTCCGTCTCTCTGTCTGTCTGACCGTAAACTGCTTCCACATTTGTGGACTGATTTTCATCAAATTGGTACCAAAATTTCGCAAATTTTCCGGGAAGTGTGACTATGGTAATTATTTGTAAGTTTTACGTCTCCACCCACGCAATCGCATATTTATGGACCAATTTTTTTTAAATTGATATCAAAATGTTGCAAATTTTCTGAGAAAACTACTGTGTGGTTTTTTTTAAGTTTTATTCTCTTTACGCATCTACACACGCAATCACATATTTATTCACCGATTTTCTCGAAATTGGTACAAAATTTCACATTCTTTCGGAAATGGCTACTATGTGTTTTTATTTAGTTTTACACTACTACATACGCATCCGCCCACGCATACATACATTTATTGATTAATTTTCTCGAAATTAGATATCTATTTATATTTATATATACAAGTTGCAAATTTTTTGGGGATGCGTGGGTGGAGATGTAAAACTTACAAATGATTACCATAGTCACACTTCCCGGAAAATTTGCGAAATTTTGGTACCAATTTGATGAAAATCAGTCCACAAATGTGGAAGCAGTTTACGGTCAGACAGACAGAGAGACGGACGGTAATTATACATACAGATTTTTATAAAATCTAAAATAACTTAAATCAATCAGAAACTATTATATCCGATTTGTGATGAGATGGTGTTTTTTAATTTAAAATTTTTTTTAACATAGAGAAGGGTATGTTTCCGCAAAAAAATGTTTTGCAGATTTTTATGCCAATGTGTTCGAAATGTTCCAAAATATCGAGAAATCACATTTAAAAAAAATTTGTATGTAAAACTTTCACCCACGCACTCACACATATATTGATTTATTTTCGGTACCAAAATCATGAAAATTTTTGGGGATGACGACGACAGACAGACGGACAA